ATCCCAAGTTTCAATATTTCTGTTCAATAAAGAAAATAATACCACTTGTTGCTTTTATGTATATATTATATGGAAATTATGTATAAACTCTGCCTTTATCATTTTCATTTCAAGCAATATAGGACCACCTTTAGCGAAATAAATTATAAGAAGGTAATACTAGTATTAAAAGATAATAGTATATTACATTATTAAACGAAAAGATAACACTAAAATTATTACACGAAACAAGCATGCATGAACATTTAATAACTGTGCATCAAATGATATGCATCATACAACTACTTATCTTCGAATTTATTTTCATCATTATATGGTGATTTCGAGAAGGTCGTTCATGTATGAAAATGCAGGGAAAATTGATAAGTAATTCGATATTTTAAAATGAAATTAATAAAAAAATAATTCAATAATATTTGTCCGAGTAATTGGAAACAATTGAATTGAAAACGGATAATTCATCGGGCGGTTGTTTAATTCGACGAGAAAAGTTACGAAACCGAAGGCAAGAGATGAATTTGCCGGATAGGGTGGTAGTAAAGGTATTAGACTGAAGGTTGGAGGTCGGTTCACGATCGGGGGTGCACAGAGGTGGGGTGGAATGCGCGGACCAACGGATCAATTCGCGCTCGGGAGTTACGGGGGAAAGCAACAGTGTGTCTACCCCTGCTTCCCAGAAAAGTACGATTCGCACGATTCGAACACCATTTACTTATTCTTGATATATGAAGATGACAATAAACGACTCATCCAGTTGTCGTGTAGGTAAAATAGAGAATATGATCGCGTCGCGAGAACATCTCCTACGCAAGTGATCATTAAAAACGGTGGTGTCTTTTCGCGATAAGTTTATTCGCGCGTATGCAGCTTTCTCTTAGCGAATTAGCTGTGTAACGGGGTTCAGTTAATAAATATAAGAGGAAGTCTGCTTGATCAATCAAAATGATAAGATCGGAAAACCCTTCATGTCTTTACTGTTGTCTCAGTCGACGGTAGATCGATTCAGAGAAATTCGCGAGAAATTCGCGAGATCAGACAAATGACCTTGAATTATCCGTGACCGATATTAATGCGGCAAGAAAAAAAATTAACATTGTTATCGATACTATTTTTAATTTGACTCTTCCCCGTCGATAAACGGACCGACGAAGATATTCATTGTATTGTCTGCGTTCGCGGAATTGTGAAACGAAAAGTGTAGATAAGTGTCATCTAACAATTTGACCTGATTTTCATTGAATATGTCTTTATGCATTACTATAACATGAGAACGGGAGGCTGCGATTGTTGAGAGCAAGTTCTATTTGTTCCCTCTGCAGTCAATAGGCGCGAGGACAATTCGATATCGGTTTTCCCCGCATCTCGATGTAGTTCACGAAATGCGACATTTCTTGTTACACATGAGTTTTTTTTATTTTATGGGATAACATAAAATGTTACAATTTATTATCAACATATAAATAAATTATGTTTTAACATACGATTTGTTAATAATTAATTATGTGTTTTTTTTAAACTGATTGTTATATTTATCTCAAGGTGAAAATTAATTATATAATGTTATAATAACAGGATTTGTTCTTATTTCGTTTATAGACGAGTGTCCAAACAGTGGAGAAGATAGCGAAGAAGATGNATCCCAAGTTTCAATATTTCTGTTCAATAAAGAAAATAATACCACTTGTTGCTTTTATGTATATATTATATGGAAATTATGTATAAACTCTGCCTTTATCATTTTCATTTCAAGCAATATAGGACCACCTTTAGCGAAATAAATTATAAGAAGGTAATACTAGTATTAAAAGATAATAGTATATTACATTATTAAACGAAAAGATAACACTAAAATTATTACACGAAACAAGCATGCATGAACATTTAATAACTGTGCATCAAATGATATGCATCATACAACTACTTATCTTCGAATTTATTTTCATCATTATATGGTGATTTCGAGAAGGTCGTTCATGTATGAAAATGCAGGGAAAATTGATAAGTAATTCGATATTTTAAAATGAAATTAATAAAAAAATAATTCAATAATATTTGTCCGAGTAATTGGAAACAATTGAATTGAAAACGGATAATTCATCGGGCGGTTGTTTAATTCGACGAGAAAAGTTACGAAACCGAAGGCAAGAGATGAATTTGCCGGATAGGGTGGTAGTAAAGGTATTAGACTGAAGGTTGGAGGTCGGTTCACGATCGGGGGTGCACAGAGGTGGGGTGGAATGCGCGGACCAACGGATCAATTCGCGCTCGGGAGTTACGGGGGAAAGCAACAGTGTGTCTACCCCTGCTTCCCAGAAAAGTACGATTCGCACGATTCGAACACCATTTACTTATTCTTGATATATGAAGATGACAATAAACGACTCATCCAGTTGTCGTGTAGGTAAAATAGAGAATATGATCGCGTCGCGAGAACATCTCCTACGCAAGTGATCATTAAAAACGGTGGTGTCTTTTCGCGATAAGTTTATTCGCGCGTATGCAGCTTTCTCTTAGCGAATTAGCTGTGTAACGGGGTTCAGTTAATAAATATAAGAGGAAGTCTGCTTGATCAATCAAAATGATAAGATCGGAAAACCCTTCATGTCTTTACTGTTGTCTCAGTCGACGGTAGATCGATTCAGAGAAATTCGCGAGAAATTCGCGAGATCAGACAAATGACCTTGAATTATCCGTGACCGATATTAATGCGGCAAGAAAAAAAATTAACATTGTTATCGATACTATTTTTAATTTGACTCTTCCCCGTCGATAAACGGACCGACGAAGATATTCATTGTATTGTCTGCGTTCGCGGAATTGTGAAACGAAAAGTGTAGATAAGTGTCATCTAACAATTTGACCTGATTTTCATTGAATATGTCTTTATGCATTACTATAACATGAGAACGGGAGGCTGCGATTGTTGAGAGCAAGTTCTATTTGTTCCCTCTGCAGTCAATAGGCGCGAGGACAATTCGATATCGGTTTTCCCCGCATCTCGATGTAGTTCACGAAATGCGACATTTCTTGTTACACATGAGTTTTTTTTATTTTATGGGATAACATAAAATGTTACAATTTATTATCAACATATAAATAAATTATGTTTTAACATACGATTTGTTAATAATTAATTATGTGTTTTTTTTAAACTGATTGTTATATTTATCTCAAGGTGAAAATTAATTATATAATGTTATAATAACAGGATTTGTTCTTATTTCGTTTATAGACGAGTGTCCAAACAGTGGAGAAGATAGCGAAGAAGATGTAATAACTGATTATTTGGGATCATCGCATTCTGATTGCGATCGCATACCTATTATTAATGGAGACCTTGGTTGTTTGAGTTCACGTGAAAATATAATTGCTGAAGTCAGCTACACCAAAGACAATATCGAGAAAACGGCTATCACTATGTCTGAAGGAATCGACGAACAGCAGCAGCAGCATACATTGCTCGCAATTGGCTCTAATATACAATCACAGCCTAATCCTTTGGTGCCAATTATTAGCGTCACACCACATTCACCTGGTCTTGCCAAGAACTACCCTGTTCTAGGTAAATTCATTCGATCATTGATCCATGTAAAACTACGCATTATATTGTATTTAACTCAATGTCGGTCGATGTTGAAATATCTTGTGCGCTTCCTGTGGCTAACAATTAATTCACCTCCTTGCAGAGGACAACTTGCAACATTTGCATGAAATCCATGATTGCATTCAACGTATGAGAGATCTGACACTGAGCAACTGGGGATACAATCATCGCGCTTCCCACAGTGACGTACAGCAACGTTTAACTTCATCGTGTCCTTCTCTGTGTCCTTTAATTTCACCTGAAATAGCACCACGTTCGAATAATAATGAAACAGGATCTGATCCAGATCTCCTTGCTAATTGCTCCACTAATAGTTCTCCTACACATTTCCCACCGGTAGGCCCTCGTTCACAGAATGCACAAGGTATAGACAGAAGACGTAGCTGGACAGATCTAGAAGATACTCGATGCGGGCGTCGCAGATGCTCTGGACAAAATCATCTACAAGCACAAAACATGGTTAATATTGTCAGATAAATCTTTTTAAGAAAATGCATTTATTTGTATACTCGCAGCATGAACATAATTGCTTTGTTGCTTTCTTCATTTTGCTTTATTATAACTTTAGCATTTGTTTTCACAACAATATTCAACAGTGTATCCGTTACAATTTCAGCGACAACGCAGTATTAGTTTAAGTAGCCTAGACAGTGAAATGGAAATAGAATTACAAGGAAAGTCTTGTACCAGACCTGTAGGTGTTGGCAGTCGTGCATGTAGATCACAAGCAAGCACTCATTCCCTTAACGAAGCTGATCTTGTACAGGTAAACGGACGCTTACAATGATAAACTGTTTAAATATTTTTTTATAACGAAAACACTACTGAATATTTTTTCGACAGAGTGAATATCAGAAGATAGTTACAAAGCGATTCAAAGGTAGTCAAAGATTAGCAGAAAGTAGTGGTTTAATGCCTGGTGTCACAGGTTCTCGTTTACCTCTTCAGAAATCTATATCAACGCCTTCAATTGTTACACCACAAATTAATGCTCATTTAGCAGAATCTGTAACTAGGACAACACCGTCACTCACGACGTAAGTTAAATAACAATGTTTATAGATCGTAAAGCTAGATCAACGTCAGGGGTGTCGAATTCGAGACTCACGAGGTACATGACGAAACGAACACTATTATTTGAAACATTTGTGAGCTGCACGGCTTTTATTTTTATTTATTTATTGCCATACCATAACAAGGTGCATGGAATGGTGGCCAGTGAACTTAAGTAGCGGAGGCACATACTGATGGATAGTGGAGACTGTATAGTTTACGACGAAGTTCGGCAGTCCTGACATAGCAGAAAATTTTACATTTAATTTCACTATTACACAATTTATTGGTTCGGTAAATAATATATAGCTTTCCATTTAAAGCTTCAAAGATCAGTTGCATAAATTCAGTTTTATGAAGCGACGAAGAAGTTATTCGATTTGCAGTAAACTTGTTACTTCTATTCAAGTTTTAGTATAATTTCTTTGCTATCGATTTATAACTAATATGATCTAGCCTGCGATCTTTATAAAACACATTATACATAAGCAGCACACAAAAAGATGCATATATTTTATGTACATATTATATTTCACTATCAATATTGAAATCTAAGAAAAATTAATGCATGACTTATCGATCACAAGTTTTGACATTTGTCTATAACTGAGAATGCTTGCAATAATTTGTACTTTGTATATAATAGTATTGACGCATGATTGCACCATTTTTTTTTTACTATAACTTAACAGTAATTAATTTTTAACTCTTAAAGTATAATGCATAAATATCAAAATGCTAATTCATTGGTATGCTACCTAAATTTGAAAATTCTTAGACAGGTTCAAATCTTTCATTCAGTGTATTTGATAGCATTTCATTCGTTTCAATCATTATCCAAATTTAAACTTTCTCACTCGTTTAAGTGGCATTTTCCGCATTTGAATTGCATCTACATCTTTATATCTTTTTATGGCGCTTCAATATCTCGGTGGCACACCACACGAGACTCTCTGATTTGCAATATCTTTTACACAATAGTCGCATACTTTGTGTTTGTACTTGACAATTTCCTACCATCCTGCATGGTACAGCCGTCACGAAAGAAACGAAAAGGGTAGCGGAAGCGAGACCGAAACAGAGGATCTTCATACAACACATAGCCACGAGTTTCACGAAGATAGAGAAGGCACTCCGAATGCTCAGATATCGCTTGACGAATTATTGACCGAGTAAGTATTTCATAATTTATATTTTCAGTTTTCCATTTACGAGCAATATATATTCTGCTAACAAGATACAAGGGAAAGTGGCTGGTTTGTATTAGCTTAATTAATAAGCACTTTCTTTTATAGAATATACATATATACATATATATATATACATATATAATAATACTATGCTATCATTTACATTTCTCTGTGTGTAATATATTTCCTCACAAATCACTTAGTCTTGTATGTAGTTACAACATAGATATATTTCAATCACTTTGTTTGAATATGCTATAGTAATGCTTCTAGATTTTTGTCGCTACAATGCTTTCTATATTAAACATTTTAATAATATTTGCAATTATATAGTTGTTACAATTTCCAGTGGAGCAACGTATGATGATCAAAATTCTGAAAAAACTAGGAGAAAACGGGGTTCTATATTTTTCCGTAAGAAGAAGGTAATAATTCAATTATAGAGGTATTAAAAGATCGTACAAATTATTGTAATGATATCATTATCACAGGATAAGAGTGGTAAAAAAACTAGTCTACAGCAGCATTTATGGTCAACAATAATGGCTGGACCTCAGGGAAATTTAATATGTGATGCTTGTATGAAACAATCAACAAATAAACAGCCTCTTCTACATTGTGACAGTATGTACCATTGTATACAATTCTTACATCTCCGGCAAAAAATATTTTGCCCAAAAACAGGGACAAAAGTATTCATTATTTCATTAATTATATCAGTTGTTGGAAATGATAAACTTTATCGTCAGATTGTGGAGTATCGGTACATCAGAGTCAAGGATGTAAGGATCAACTGGTACTGGAATGTATTAAATCGAAGCACCATTCTAGCAAGGCATTATCGAGTAGCTACAACGTTAAGAGAGGCTCTACGGCATCGCTGCCTCTACCATCTTCGTATGGAAGCGGAAGGTAAATAGTTCTTATTATAAAAACAACTTCTTCCCGCATTGGATCTGCGTATCTGTGGTTCAAGATTCGCACGCAATTGGCATGGCTATGCCTAAATTCGGAGTTTTTAATCAACTCCTCTTATTTGCAATATAAGTAATTTATAAGTTTAAAAAAATACGTAAATGCGAGAACACACATTTACATTTGGCAAGGAGCGTGAATTTCAATTTCTTTTCTTTTTCTTTGCTTATTAGATCTTTTTAGGGAAAGTATCTTTCAATAGAAGTACCTGGACTCGAGTATTTGGCTTTTATTTATTTATTGGTAATGCAAAATAGTGGACAGTTACAAAACTGGTTCAATACATATCAACTGGTTCGATACATTTCTCATTTTACTCGAAAAGATCTTGACGAATTTTTATACGTCATGTTCTTATATACTATAGGTATACATATGTATGTTTACGTACATATTTGATATAGGAAATGACTAGTTAGAAGGGGTATCGTATCTGCTTATTACTCAGAAGCTTTGGCTGGCTTGGAGGCTTATTATTTCTAATTAAGTTTGCAATTAAGCCAATTGTATGGCTAGCTTGAACATGTTTATCCTCGCGTCTCTAACATTATTAATGAAAACTTTTACATATACATGTTTAATTGATATACATAATGTCACGCCCAAACTTCTTCAAATATTCAAGTAACTTTTTACATATACACATATATGTAAATTTAACGAAACTAACAGAAAGAAACAGTAATATTATAACGGTTCATGCTAAGTTGCAAATTACAAATGACACACACTTCTTAATTTTTATTTTAAAGTCCACTAAACACTTTCTCCGAAATGATTTTTGACATACGAAAAGAAAGCTGTGTACTTAATGTTAAATCTTGGATACGTAACAATTGGAAAACATAGTAAAATAAGAAAAATGAAGAAGGTGGGGAAATAGAAAGGCAAAATGAAGTTGCCCTAATGCAGTGTGTGCTTTTTCCTTCCCTCGTGCATTCCCTCTCGTGCAACTACGACAAACCAATCGATTGTTCGACGATTAAAGGGAAATTAACAGCAAGAAAACCGTGACAAGCTACAGCCCTTGGCGGCGAGTTGCCACTAAGCTCGGAGTCAAGTAAGTCTCAGATATCTGATGTGTTCCTCCTATTCTGTCGAAGCGTTCGTACGTTTCCATTCGTGTATATCCGTCCTACACAGTAGTAGGATGATCCGCGTCTATCGTTCCTCGATTCTTTTCTCGCACACATTGTTTAAAAGGCGATCGAGTTGCCTCTATGTTGTACCGAAAAGAGACATATCACCTTGCCCCTGCCTATGCTTCTGATATGCTTGCTTCTCTGATTTATGTTCATTCAATAACATATTCTGTGTCTACACTTTGTATTTTCACACGAGTTTGAAAAACTCACAATATCAAATAATCAAGCATACCACCCTTCGTCGAGCATTATCAGGAATGAATACTGTAAGTTATACTTTCATGTGTTTAATTAATATGAATATCTTCGACCTCTTCCTCTCTTAGTTGTTTCTATTGTACTAAAGATTTATAACTCTATACGTCTTTGAATGTTTTTCTAAACTACTACGCAATCTACATTTTATGTTTATGTAATATATTACTTTGGCGACGACGTACTGAATGTTCTGTTGGATGGATAAATTTGCAAAACGTGGATATATGCTTATGATAATTTATTACCACCGATAGAATACGAGAATGTGTAATTACAACCATAGAGTTATTACATTCAGTACATCCCCCTTCTCTCAACCTAAATATAAATATATCTATTTAAAACATTTGTGACCCTCCTATGTACCGTAGAAAAAATTTTAAATCTCATTTATAGTAATGTTAAAAAGCTTCATTTACCATTCAACATTATTTGACACCTTGGAAACATTGGTACGAATCAGTTACAAAAAACTGTACCCCTGTAACTAAAACATTTGTCTTAAAACATAGTCATGGTTATTTTTCTGTTCGATGTAAGAAATTGAATACACATGTTTATCTATGTACGTGTATGAGAATAAAATTTAGGTGCTGCTATGCCGATTACATTTTATGTGTAAGGTAATATTGATGTACCGGTAAAACTGCTGCTGCATTTATCTAATTTATGCAGTTGCGTTATTATGGATTTCAGGAGAACACATATTTTTGTAAGAAACGTCGCAGTATTCTAATGTATATAATTGAATTTTTCTTTCAGTCAAACGATAAACGAAGAAAAGGATGGGGACGGACAACATCGTGACATATCGAGGTTTGTATATAAAAATCTATCTATTCCGCTAACAGTTTTATTTACTACAATAAAATAAACGATTAATTCTCGATTAATGATTAATATTTCAGTGGTTGGGAAGAATTTGATATCTGTGATGATACTCATCAGTTTACCGTAGACGATTTGGAAGGTGTGGATCCTGAATTGGGCCTAGGTAAAGAAGAACCTGATTCCTGGAGTGCTGCCATTGGGCAAAACATCGCGTTGCGGCTTGTCGATAATTGCGAGCGAAAAGTAAAAAGACAAGAGCACATTTACGAATTTGTTCTTACCGAGAAGCATCATTGCTTGGTGCTCCTTGCTATGGAAAGTATTTTCGCGGAAGGTCTCCGACGTCACTTCCGTTTCGGCCAACCAGACCTGGAGCGTATGTTTCCCAGACTCCGCGACCTCATCGACATTCATTTACGATTTTTGCAAAAGTTACGGAAGCGGCAAAATGCAAATCCTGTTGTTCCTACTATCGCTGATATACTCGTTGATCAGTTCGCCAGTGAAAATGCGCAACGTATGAAGAGTGCCTATGGAGAATTCTGTAGTCGTCACAGGGACGCTGTCGAGGCTTATAAGTATTATTTCCGACACGATCCTCGCTTTGCTCGATTTGTACGGCATTGTCAGGTAATTATACAACATCTAGGATGATTCTACGTATTTACTTATATTTTTTTGGTTTGCCAATAACATTGAAATCGTGTATACAGTCGCACCCTCTACTAAAAAAGAAGGGGATTCCCGAGTGTATTTTATTCGTTACCCAACGTTTAACAAAATATCCACTGTTAGTTGAACCACTTATAAAAACTGGCATTGTGCAAGAAGAAGGTGAAGATTTGCGCAAAGCGTTAAGCCTTGTTAAAGAAATCTTAGCGGATGTGGACGCTTGTGTAGCCGATAAGGAAAGAGAAGATAGGAAGCTAGAGATCTATAATAAGTAAGCGAGTTCAATGAGTCACATCGAGTATACTTTTCCGGGTGTCGTTAACTAACATTATTTTCATCGTTATTACGTAGGATCGATGCAAAATCATTTGCAACATATCGTAACGTTAAATTCAAAAAGTCAGATATCATGGCATTTAATAGAGTACTGAAATTCGAAGGTACTGCGTACTTAATGCAAGGCCGTGGAAAAATGACTGCCATTGTAGTAGTTGTTCTGTCTGATATATTATTTTTCTTGGCCGAGAGGGATCAGAAGTATGCCTTTTTTGTGCCTGACAATAAGGCCGGTATAGTGTCGCTTCAGAAACTGCTGGTGCGTGAGAAGGCTGGTCAAGAATCTAGAGGAATCTATTTAATAAGTAGCAATCCAGCTGAACCAGAGATGTTTGAGTTAAAAATTCAAAAGCCCAAAGATAAACAGTTATGGATACAAGCGATCAGATCAGCGGTCGAAGCTTGTCCACAAGAAGCCGATAATGAATCTGATACAATAACTGAAAATAATAGTAGCAATGAATTGAGAGACACCCGTTCTTCTTCTATATCATTACTTTCTGTCGAAGAAAGACAACGCCTAGTTAAAACGAAAGAAACACATATCCAGAAAATAGTTGGTGCGTATATAGTTTACGGGTGATATATCTCATGGCAGAAAATTTGCTATACCATTAATAATGCTTGCTTTTTATTAAAATATTCAGCTGAGCTACGAAAGAAGGACACCGAGCAAGCACTTTTACTGGAAGAAAAACTTAATCTGCAAATGCAGCTTTCGAATGCCGCAAATGTGTGGGGAGGGAATGAAACTAATGATACTGAACGATTAGAAAAGGTTGATAAAGAAATTCCGGATTATACTAGACTAGTTCACAACGAAGGGACTGATACTACGCAATTATGGAAAGAGGTTACCAGCTTCGTTTAGCATTGTAGTTTTAATTTACTTGTTTTACGTAATCTTGGAAATGAGAAAACAATTTGCCCCGTTACAGGTGGTTATGGCTGTTCAAGAAGCAACAAGACTTGCTAGCTCATTATCGTTTAGTACAGGCGGTGCTACTCTTTCAAGAAGTTTAAGTTCTGCCGGTGAACGGCATAGCGAAGCCTACGTACCAGCTGCTCTCAGTGTACCACGGAGGGCAGAAACATTTGCTGGTTTTGACCACAACAAAGTAAATATATGCAATCCGAAAACTACCGAGACGGATGTAACAAACAATTTTTCCTTTTTTTTTCTTTTTAGGAGAAATATCCATTACGAGATTCTGCAGCAGTTCAATCGGTAATTTTTCTTCCAAAAGTTGGCGAATTTGTGAAAGAGACACCAGGGGATAAGGAAGCTCAAGATTCCGAAGCGAACAAGGATCAACAATGGGCGGCAATTCGTTTGTCTCATCACGTTTATACGCTGCTCTGTCTAATTAGTAGCCAGATGACGACAATCGATAGTTTACAGGCTCAATTAGCTGCGTGTAAAGATGGAAGTATAAGCAAACCAAATAATAGACCTAATACAAACCGCCAGTTAGAAGAGTTGCGTAACTTGCAAGATCAATTAAGCCGAGAGAAAGCAGCGTTCCGTGCTGCTTCCCAGCAAGAACAAAAACAGCTGGAGGAAGAAAGGGCCGAGTTGGCGAGACAACGAGAACAACTCGCGGCAGAAAAGCAGGATGTAACACAGCAGAGAGACCAATTATATCGGCGACTCGAAGCATTGGAGAGACAAGGTGTGACATTGGTTGCAGGCGCGGCGCCAGGATCCGCGACCATTCATCTGTCTCACATGTCGCAAGGAACGGATACGATACAGACACGAAAATCTCAGCTAGATGCTAAACGGATACCATTAAATTTAATTAGCGCTACCAACCAACAAAAAGTGCAAAGCAATCTTCCTGTGAAACAGCAGTTGCCTTTGAAACTTGCTAGTGGAAGTAACAATAATACTAGGTATGTATCTGTAAATTATGTTTTCGATTCATCTTTGAAACTGGTATAATCACATAAAAACTGGATTATTATGAGATGCTAGTTATACCGATGCAGCTTAATAATTATTTCGGTAGGAACATCTTGAACTACTTTAGAAATCAAATAATTTTTCACAGATACAAATCCTTCTATAACGAATAGAAGGGCACACTTTTAATCTTTTTCTTTCTCTGTATAACTAATAGGAGCGGAGGCACAAGTAATAATAGTCCTGATCGACATTCACGAACCGGTAGTAGCCCGGCAATCGTGAGTAGCTCAACGTATTCTTCCCCGGAACTAGGTAACAATAACGCTAGCACCAGTCAAATTCACTCTTCGAATCGTTCTCTACGAATCACGCGATCTCCTCCGGAGTATCCTCATTATCAACAACAGCCACAACAACCACCACCACCACCACAACAGCAACAACAGCATCAACGAACTGAACAGCAACAACCGTTGGAGGAGGAGGTAATTTTTTTCTGACGACTCCTTCGTTTTGGTCGAAAGCATTCTCGATCCTCTCGCCCTACAACCGGCGAAGCTACCCCAACGTCTCAACTAACTCCTTCTCGGAATCAATCAAAAGATGCTCAACCTAGAAGCCGTGTCAAATCATTTTGACTTTCAACATTCACGCGGTAATAACTTTGAATTACCCATTTTGAATATTCTTCCGTAGTATTTCGTCGTTGGTTTCAATATTTCTCATCGATCATTCTATGTTCACTTGTCACTTTTCTCCTTATCTGTTCCATTTTCTCTTTCATCTTTTGTTTTTGTCTTCCTTGCTCAGTGATAATTTTTATGGTGTTGTACATTAAAAATGCAACATGGTACATTAATAATGCATTTAACGTATCTATAAAATCGCGTGACTGTCAATGAGAAAAAAAAAAGAACATACATACGTATTATTCTGAATAAATCGATAAAAAGGATCGTTACTTTTCAACTGCTATTGAAGGCAATAATATAATTTTTATGCAAAGTCTCACGAAACCTACCGTAGAAAAAGAGAATAAATGTAACATATATGGACAAATAAAATGATAACGATTAGTAGTCACAACTATTTGGGAGAACAAAAAAAAATAAAAGTATTAAGAAAGCCGGCTTGGTGAGGTAGTTCAGCCGATCTTGTTGAATTCTTGCTCGTTATGTTATTAAGCCGACTGACAATTTTAGAGACATGATTTTAGATGAATCTTTTAAACAAATCTGTTGCTGCTTGCTGAAAAACGCAAGGTTAGAGAATTAGATTATATTAGGAGTGCATATATACATGAACGTGTATATATACTTTTTCATGGACATATGTATGGTGAAGTCACATGTACGTATGCTGGGTTCAAAACTGTGCGAAAGTATGTAATGCGTGCATATGAATAAAATTCATGAACACATGCATACGTGTACAACTCCATTTTACCAAGAATGTACACATATGCACCTATACTTGTGTGTACGCACGTATATGAAAGAATATGTGAGTGATCGCGGTAGTTATTCATACATCATAACTTTAAAAGTATTTTAATATGTGCTAAAGCGACGGATAAGATAAATTATTATCGGTAACGAATCGCTGTTATATGTGTGCCAAGCCACAGTTAAAAATCGTTAATTTTTCGGTATCATTATCGCATATCATTTGTTCGACAATACAATCGTCCTCCCTCAATTTAAGTTGGACAAACATGGATCAACATAACATTTTCTATTTAATATTTTTAATTCGAGATTTTCCACTGCCATTATTGTTAATCTGACCCTTTTCTCTTTTCGACTGTTTACAATTTATTTTATTTATTGCATCGCGTATATTTTCGATTATCTGAAGTATTTTATTTATAAGATTTTTTTTAAATAATGACCGTTTTCAAGTATTTGCGAATCTGGAACCCATTTCAGAGAAAGTAATATACAAACTATATGATCATACTGCACGTTTGAAGTGTTATACTTACGACTTCTCATTTATTAATCGTTAAGGCGAAAAATTATATTTAAAATTGAAATCCGTAAGGATGACAAAGACGAAGTAAGAAATTATCTTCGAAGACATGACCCTAGAACGTAGATCGTTATAATGAAATCAGAATTTTGTTTTGATACATATATAAATATTATATACATATAGATAGCGTATATATGCTTGCCTCAGAAGATGCTGTAGCGTGCAATATGATCGAATGGAGGACAGCGTCGTAGAGGCATGATAATGATGAAACATGTGACTAATTAATTTAACATCATAGGGCAACATAAAGCAACAGTATCGACTTGTCTCAATCAATCATGGTGACAATAGTTCTTCAAAGTATTTCTGTAAGATGTAAAGTGTGAGAAAAACAAACATAACGAGTTTTTACAAGTCTACTACTAAAAAGTCTCAGCATGTATCAGAACATAAATAATATTGTATCGATCTGTTAACAGCCTTTATAGATGAGTGTTCGACTTCATTTCAAGAACACTAAATACAAATTATAAACTGTTCTTAGTGTTATAATGTTCGTGATAAAGGAACCGTTGAAACACACGTGAAAAGTAAGATCTAACACTGAAATGTAATTCCAAAGAAATCATTCCAGATATGTATGTACGCGCGCACTTACACATATGCATTGACAAAAGGCAAATGTATTCTTTACATATGTTAAGAGCATTCCGCTATGTCAGATATAACTCGATGTGACTAAAACTCGTTGTTATTAAATATTCTCCTTGTACAATGAAGTCGTACACCATCTTTTGGGTGACACAAAAAAAAAATCAAATTGGATTAACAACTTAAAAAGTAGTGCGGCGGCCTACGTGCATCTCGTGACATCTAAAAAAAAAAATTCGATGTCATACGATTGCATAAGTTTAAGAGAGGATATAAAGAATTATTAGCAACGCGGTTTTCCACGTTTTAGTGAATCTTTACGTCCCTGATGCTCATGGGAAGTATTTTTGTACGTTTACTCTGTACCTACTATTTTACTCTAAAGCTATATCTACTGTTATCATTGTGATACTCGCTACTGCGATCGTCTTTGGAAACGTTAATATAAAATTATAATAATCTAATAAAATGAACGCGTATCTATTTTAAGACACGCTCGCTCGATGCATTAGTATTAATTCTCTTAGACTTGATCAATTTTAAACTACAAACCGATTCGTCGGTTGCAACCTAATAATAATTGTTATTATTGTGTTACTCGCTTGATTACTTCATCAAGATTACCATTTACTAACACAATATGCTAAATACGTCTATTTTATGACAAATACAAGTTATAAGCTCCTATTTTACTAAATCCATATACTGCAAAATGAAATGATTTTTCTGTAAGGCGATCCATCAACATTAATCTGTTACTTGGCAAGAGTAAACAAATATTTACGATATTTTTCTTCCTCCAACTTTATACATCTATGTATACATATACATATTTATATTTGTATATGTATACCTATAGATATATGCATGCGTATATACAGTGTATATTATATATGTTATATATAATGTACACGCACTCATAAACACTGGTATGTGATTTACATTCCTTAACGTTTATATACACATGTTTTGCTGCATTTTCGATCGATAAAAGAATCGCTGTTAAATCATTAGCCGCATAAAGAAATAATATCTATTTATTATAAATGTACATACAACCGTTATTGTAATAAAGAAGAACGTGAGAGAAATGTACGATTATGTTAATGTTACGTGATATTTCTCTTCTGTTTATTACATTTACTTACAAAAATTCTCTGCATTTATAAATTCTTATCCTATCACTTTCATTCAATATGGCTTGGTTCTATGATGACGGTCACGTCCTATGCCAGTGCCAATTTTTGCCACCAATTTATGGCTAGGATTTTGTTGTAATAGTGTTGTTTCTCCTTTCCTCCAAATGTTTATATATCCACCTTCCCCCACCGTCACTAAGGAACCACTCTGTAAATTATACATTTACAAGTATTATTTTTCTGTTTATACGACTGCTTACATATTACATATAATTCCATCAAAATAATACCTTCTCATGCAACCAACTATCACGTACTAATTGTTTATTTCCCTCCATGTTGTAACATACTTCTAACCGGTCATTTGCGATACTCATACATCTTAAATTTTCTCTAAAAAATTTTAATAAGAACAAATGAAATGATAAAATAGGTGATAATAATATTTTGATTTTTATTTGTCCTGAGTTTTTAAATTATATTGCAATTTACCCTTTAACATTGCTGGAACCTGCAAGAAGGAATGCTTGTTCGAGTACGTTTGAAGTATGAAATCTGACTGTATAACAGTTGTCCGCATCATCATTCTGAAAAATTACATTATATATACGAAGATTATTATTATATCTCAATATCACTTCTAAATATATTATTATCAACAGAAATTATAATTAATGTAATTAAACTTATACTAACTTGAGAAACTATCAAATCACTACGTTCGAACTTTGTATATGGTGTAGCACCTTCACAATCCCAAAGTTGTAATGAATGAGTATGAGTTGTACACCAAAGATTATCATCATTCAGCCAGCCTATCCTATCCTGTTATTTAACAGGTATGTTTCATACATATGATATAATGCTAATTTTTATAATATCTGGTACTAATAAAAATTGTAACTTACTACAGAAGACTCTGTGTTCAAAGAATAAGTCAGTGCAGAATCTTCTGACGGTTGTGTGAGGTCAAATATATTAATTAAACCGTCTGTACTACCAGTTGCTAAGACATCCTGCTTCTTAGAGTGAAATGCCAAACAGGTCACATCTTCCATGTGAGATTCCCAGTACCCACCGAGAAGAGTATTTTTATTAGCATGTCGTGTATCCCAAAATAAAATGAATGCATCTCCTCCGATATGTTCAGTTCCACCTGCTATAAGTCTTTCATCGTTGCTTATATCAAAACTACAGAGAGGTTTCAATTTCCCATCTTCTGTACTGTCTGAGAAGAAGATACAAATGTTACATTATACACATTAGTTCTGACATGTTTTTAATTGATTTATTAAATAAAGACCTTTAAATTCTGCAATAACTTTTCCTTTGGCACGCAAGTCACATGCTGTAATTTGTCCGTCACTTGTCGCAGTATATAAAATGTTTTTAGAAGTAGGACTAAATCTTATACCAACAATCGGAGCTCGATTATGAGTTAATGTTGTGATGCGACTTAAACTTTCACCAACAGAATATATTACACAGGTACGATTGGACAAAGCAGTACCAATCCTGAATTCTGGATCGCTACAAAAACACAAGATATTCATAAAACATTTTAAAAATATGAAATATAAAATAACAATTTACGTAAAATATTTACAAATTTTTATATAAGAAATTTGTTTATAGATTACTCTACGTAAACAAATTCGAAACATATTACATAAAAATTAAATTTTTTTAAATGATTGATTTTTGTATATAAGACGCGAAAAACATATTTTAAATGAAATGGAGGGAAAAATTTGTAGCTCTGCTTTAGAGATATTTGCGAATACATCTTGCTCGAGCACTGAAAAAATTGGTTAATATGAAGAAATCGATATTTTTTTGTAGATTTGACGTAAAACACTACATAAAAATATACAAAAATTTGCCTTTGTGTTCCACAGACTCCAAGGACATAATTACGATCTAGAGACACTGCTTCTTCTATCTTCGATATTAATTCTACTCTTCTTTTCATCGTTGTGCGATTGTCATTGTATTTTCGTTTGTTATGTTCGACACTTAGCCTCTTTAAAGACTCAACTATTTTTGCCATGCTACCCGGTTTCGAAATTTCGAGCAAATATCACAAAATTAAGGTTAATATCACGTCCAGAATATAGTCATAAGTCCCCTTAATCTAAACTACAGTACTTGTCGCTTTGAACTGTGATTATAAATCGTTGAATATATTGTTATAAACCCCTCTCTTGAATGTATCTCTTTATTGTCTTAATTAAAAGATTTTTAAAAGTATATAGTAGTAAAATTTTAAAACGTAATTTCCTTATTGTTCGTGCATTTGATAAAAAAAAAATTAAATATAAAAATGCAACATATACATAACAGCTACATAATTGGGGTGAAAATATACATACTTTCCATCGATCGGTGGCGCCACTGACATTGACTGACATTTACGTTAAATTTAAAACCTTCTTTCCTTGAATTATAGTTTGATTTTATGTACAGACTACTCTTTTTGGAGCATTAATTTATTTACATTTATTTGTGTTTAAGGAAGAAGGTACTCATCTAATGATTCTTTTTTTTTTTATTGTATTATTTTCAATATTTACAAAAATTGCACTAAATACTCTCCAGTGATGTTTTTTCATAAAAATGAGGTGCTAATTCCAATAACCACTCCGATTGTATTACAGTTATATCCTTCATATATGTTTTATTTGTTTGCAAAACTTCACAGAAAAGTAACCTAAAAGAAATAGAGAATTTAACAAGCGATGTACAGTGTGAGTACGCAAAATTAAGGTATTCAAGTGTATATACAAACCATTGTGGTTGTTGAAGTGTATATAAACAACTATTTGGGTGTATGTACAAATCTTTGTTACCACGCACAGTTTTGTATACTCCAGTGTAATGTAAATATGCTGCTTTTGGAAAAAGTCCAGCTGTTATACATTTCAAAATTTGTTCCACATTTCCTAACAAGAAACAAAAAATTTCATCATTAATACAATATGCTTTCTGTAATTTATTTCAATAATAAACTGTGTTTACCATTACTAGAAATCAATGGAATGTCTAGCTTCCTCATCATAGAGAGCATTTGTGTCCGAATTTCGGTAGCTCGTCGTAATGCTTTATAGTTAAGAAAATTTTTCTGACACCATGCAGATATTTTATTTTTTTCGTAAGCAGTATACACGTTGAGCATAGTCAAAAGGTCGCCTTCTTCGACTTCAAATTTTCTATGCGCCACTCTGGCTTTTATAGCAGCTTGACCTCCGGCCGGTCTTATGAATACATTTTGTACTTGCAGCATCGCAAGGATCATTGTAAACTCTTTAGAACATCCCATTTCACCTGTATATAAAAAAAGAGATCTTGTTTGTTAGCAATATTTTTGTTAATATTTTGCTAATAAATTTTGTTATTAAAATATTACCTGATACTATGAGAGATTTTGCTAAAACAGGTTCTAAAGGCATTTCCGCCATGGTAATGCCTAATGGCATCGTTAATTCTCCGTTTCTGTCTATTGCGCCCAGCGCATAAAGCAATTCTAATCCTACAAGAAGATTTTTGCTTGGCGGAGCAGAGGGGAAATTAAATCTTAAGACATTGTCGATGCCTAAAGCTTTCAGTTGCAAAATAGCTGGTGCCAAATCGGAACGCTGCATTTCCGGTGGCATCGCTTCGAACAGTTCAGAATATGCTTCTTCTGTGTATAATCTGTGTAGGAAGAACGGATATAAATGTGTGATACATACGTACATTCACAAATATAATTATGAAACAAACCTATATGCTTTCCCTGTTCGAACACGTCCTGCTCTACCTGCCCGTTGGTCGGCTGACGCTCTTGATACAGGAACAATTACCACCGAATTGGTCTGCGTGTCCGCCTCGAACCAAGGAATTTTAACAAAACCGCAGTCGATTACTAAACATAAAATGCAACGTATCGATTACAGTTCTCTTCGTAACAATAACGCGCCTATTGCTTTACGTTTAAGAGACCTACAATGTATAATAGATGTATCCTAGTTAAAAATGACATTATACGTATAATACAAAAATAATTGAATTACTCGAAACCGCGTAATTTTGTCTTTACCATAAACGATGTTTGGAATAGTAATAGATGTTTCAGCTATGTTTGTTGCTACGACTACTTTACGAGTGTCTTTGGCCGCCCTCCAAAATACTTTCAGTTGTTCCGAGTTTGGAAGAGACCCATACATAGCCAGGGGTAAAAGTTTCACTGAAAAAAAAGCAACATAAACAAGAACAGATCACCTCACGATCTATCTTAAACAGTTATATAACATCGTACATTCAACTGAGCACCATCACGTTGCTCGAATGACTTTCGCCGTTTCAATTACGCAGGTATAAACACAGCAAGGATGATTCTGAGCATCGTGCCCAAAGATTTTACTTACGTTTGCCTTCTTGTATAAGCTTTGCATGCTCTGATAAAAGAGAAACTGCTTGATCTACTTCGTCTAAGCCCGTGAGAAATGCCAAAATATCACCAGGCTCTTCGTTCTCGTGTATCTTCAAAACGGTGTCTACAACGCCGGTAACGTAATTTGCCACCGATTCTACAAAATACACAAATTTTCATTTTCATCTTTATTTTCGAATACTTTCTACTCGAATTCAATATTCAATTCAATATATATATAATTAATATTATATATATAATTCAATATACAAAAAATTACCTTTTATATAGAAAGTGTCCACTGGATAGAGTCGACCCTCGACAGTCAATATGACCGCGGTATCTTTGGTCGAGTCTTTTGTTGTGTTTGTGTTGAAAAAATCCCGAAGTTGTTCAGCATCAACCGTGGCCGAGCAAACAACAACTTTCAAGCTTCTGCGTTTCTAGAACAACGTATCCGAGAACTTTTTAATATTTCACAGAAACAGTTTCATCGAAAAACGAACAGCGAGGAGATCGTGAAAATGAATTTACCCGAATTATCTTCTTTAAAAGTCCCATTATGATGTCGGTCATCAGCGTTCTCTCGTGTACTTCGTCTATAACGATGACAGAATAATTCGTCAATAATGGGTCGCCCATTAATTCACGTAGAAGAATTCCTTCCGTCAAGTACTATGAACAGAATAAAAAATATGTACATTCGTTAATGCAAAATCATTTGGAATGCGTAAAAATTGTAAATACTAGAAGAAAATGTTAACATAGAAGAAATTTGATATAAATATATGATAAATATGAGATTCATTACATGTGCAAATATTTTTAATTTTAATGATTCGAATCTAGGATAACATAATACTGATATTTTTAAATATTATATTAATTATAATATTATTATAGTATTATAGTAATTATAGTAATATTAGTATATTATATTAATTATAATTAATTATATATTAATTTAATTATATTAATAATTATATATATATATATATATATATAATATATTATGTTTTATATTATACTCGTTAAACTCTGTCTCTTATATACATCTAGATGTGTATAAGAGACAGGTATAATATAAAACATAAAATATTATATATATATATATATATATATAATATATTATGTTTTATATTATACTCGTTAAACTCTGTCTCTTATATACATCTAGATGTGTATAAGAGACAGGTATAATATAAAACATAAAATATTATATATATATATATATATATATAATATATTATGTTTTATATTATACTCGTTAAACTCTGTCTCTTATATACATCTAGATGTGTATAAGAGACAGGTATAATATAAAACATAAAATATTATATATATATATATATATATATAATATATTATGTTTTATATTATACTCGTTAAACTCTGTCTCTTATATACATCTAGATGTGTATAAGAGACAGGTATAATATAAAACATAAAATATTATATATATATATATATATATATAATATATTATGTTTTATATTATACTCGTTAAACTCTGTCTCTTATATACATCTAGATGTGTATAAGAGACAGGTATAATATAAAACATAAAATATTATATATATATATATATATATATAATATATTATGTTTTATATTATACTCGTTAAACTCTGTCTCTTATATACATCTAGATGTGTATAAGAGACAGGTATAATATAAAACATAAAATATTATATATATATATATATATATATAATATATTATGTTTTATATTATACTCGTTAAACTCTGTCTCTTATATACATCTAGATGTGTATAAGAGACAGGTATAATATAAAACATAAAATATTATATATATATATATATATATATAATATATTATGTTTTATATTATACTCGTTAAACTCTGTCTCTTATATACATCTAGATGTGTATAAGAGACAGGTATAATATAAAACATAAAATATTATATATATATATATATATATATAATATATTATGTTTTATATTATACTCGTTAAACTCTGTCTCTTATATACATCTAGATGTGTATAAGAGACAGGTATAATATAAAACATAAAATATTATATATATATATATATATATATAATATATTATGTTTTATATTATACTCGTTAAACTCTGTCTCTTATATACATCTAGATGTGTATAAGAGACAGGTATAATATAAAACATAAAATATTATATATATATATATATATATATAATATATTATGTTTTATATTATACTCGTTAAACTCTGTCTCTTATATACATCTAGATGTGTATAAGAGACAGGTATAATATAAAACATAAAATATTATATATATATATATATATATATAATATATTATGTTTTATATTATACTCGTTAAACTCTGTCTCTTATATACATCTAGATGTGTATAAGAGACAGGTATAATATAAAACATAAAATATTATATATATATATATATATATATAATATATTATGTTTTATATTATACTCGTTAAACTCTGTCTCTTATATACATCTAGATGTGTATAAGAGACAGGTATAATATAAAACATAAAATATTATATATATATATATATATATATAATATATTATGTTTTATATTATACTCGTTAAACTCTGTCTCTTATATACATCTAGATGTGTATAAGAGACAGGTATAATATAAAACATAAAATATTATATATATATATATATATATATAATATATTATGTTTTATATTATACTCGTTAAAGTAATATTACTTGTTGAAATATAACATAAATAAGCATTGTTAGATTCATGTAGCTGGTACGTTTCGTTTTGTACGAGTAAAACGATAACGATCCGAATAATTAAAGACTCCGGAAATCAAGACCACCGACAGATAAACGGCGGTACAGATAAAATCTTTAAATAGAAAAGTTCCGAATTATTCAGCAGGAATTAAAATGAATAAAAAATAAATAAATAAATAACGTTTTGACATATATTTTTTTACCTTAATTCTTGTTGTTTCATCTATGCAATTATCGAAACGTATAGAATAACCGACTTCGGTGCCAAGGACACAGTTACGTTCATCAGCTACCCTACTGGCCAAAGAAGTGGCTGCAACCCTTCTTGGTTCGGTAATACCGATCATTTTTCCATTTGCACACCATCCCGCTTCAAAAAGATACTGTAATCATTTTACAAAATTATAGTTATAATCATACGCGAAGCTCGATCGAGTATACTTTCTTTTTTGTCTATTCGAATCAGCGAAAACTCGTCGGAATTAATTTTGAATAGCTTTTCGATAGAGTTATTAAAATCATATCGATTTTATAAAACTGTTTACCTTTATTTATTAACTTTGAATTTTGCACAATACTGAACGATGAATACGATTGTATAGATTTTTTTATAAAACTACTCAGGTATACGTTTTACGATAATTAATAATGATGACGACATTGAGACGACATTGAATTGTTAATGTTAATTTGAATAACGTTGATACTATATGAAACGTATGCTTAATGAGGCTACTTATCTGTTATAAAGTGCTGTGTACAGTCATTGCATGTTCCATAAAAAATTTCAAATTTCACACATTCTTACTATTTTTGCATCGATGTTGAATACAATAAAAATTTCACAAAGAAATCAGTAAAAATCGTCGTTTCTACTTCGATAAATACACAGATTTATAATGATATAAACAGTTTACAGTCAACCATAATATTATAAATTTTCTGATTACTAACAGTAAAAAATGTAACATGAATTTTTCATGCTGATTCTAAAAGATGACATCAGCAAGATAAAATTTCACGATGCTGCACGAATAAAAGATGATTCCAATTGAAAAAAAGAAACAAAATTTCAACTTGCGAGAGCGTTACCCATTTTAAAATGTGCCCTGATAAAGCAGTTAACTTTATCAGCTAGCATGGTTGTCACTCAACTATCGAACACGTCACAAAGGCTACGGTAGTGATAACAAATATCTCGCTAGAAATACAAGACATTTTAGCGAAATTAATTCCTGGTCTGTCCATGAAGTCGCATTTACGATAGTTGTGAATAGTGGATATAATTCTTGCAGGTAGAAGAATAAGAAATATTTGGAGCAAGGACAACGGAATTAATAATCTGCTTATGTAAGAGTAATATTATATTTCATCATGAATTCGATTAGTACACTGTTAGATGCACTTATCAAATTTTAAGTGCAACGCGATGAAGTGGATCTTACGCGCTTGCCTGCGAGTTTCAATCTTACGATTAGCGTGACTAATGTAGTAACATTAGAATATTACATATATAATATGTCTTTGCAGTTTAGCATCATATTTATATAGGATTTTATCGCAAGCTCGTTACAACGGCTTATGTATATTCAGAGCCTGTTATGCGAGATAGGAAAACTCACAAGTGTTGCAGCTATACATATAAGGATAAATATCATAAGGATAAATATATATAAGGATAAATATACACATAAGGATAAAATATTCTAAATTATCGTGAGTAAAAAGATAAGAAATTCTATCATTCCGCAGATACCAATAATGACCATCATATGTATTTTACATTACACAACCCATATATTTAACATAAATATTTATTTTTGTACACATATATAATATAATACATACAACCTACACATAATGATTGAAATCAAATGACTGAATTCAGGAGTGCAATAATTCTGACAACTTTATATTGAACTATGATAGAGATACACCGCAACTAAAAAGAGAGGCAAGAATGAATTTATTATCCGCATGAAAAATCTTGTACCAATCAACATTATTGTTTTATATTTATACCATTAACCCCTTAAATGAAGTGAGATTCATTGAAATATTTAAGTAACACAGTTGTACATCACAGAGACCAATATATATGCGGATAAATATATTAATAAGTACATTGTAAAGTTGAAAGTTACCTAGACATGGAATAAAGAGAGCAGTGTTCGATGCTAAATATCCAGTAACTTAAAACAAGTACTAGTAATTTATAAAACTGTGTTAACTCTTTAACATTTCTAGCATACAAAATTATGCGACAATAATAAAAGACACCGAGAATAGTAAGTACACCGACAGTATCAAGTTTTCATTAAGCGAATATCACATTGGCACAATAGACAAAATGTAGATTAGAGACATTATTATTTATAAGTTAACATTTAAGGGGTCAATGTATATGTTTACATATATCATACATATTAGACTGCTATGTATACAAAATCTCTGCCAAAAAATATAACATACAAAAATTTTTTCTGGAATGTTATCCATGTAGGTAAATGACTTTATCACCAATAATTTATAGATGTAGAAAGCAAGCTTTCTCAAGATTCATATTGTCATGTTTGGGTAAAAACATCGGATGAAGAGATATCTTCATCAATAATCGATGGTACTCCTTGTACATATGCATAGGCCCGTAGAAAATGAAATTCAGTGACATAAACAAGCAGCAATATAATTACATACGAGGACCATCTCACAAGTTTGATGTACTCTCTTATACGATCAAAAAATATTGCGAAAAGCACGTAATCCATGACAGCATGAAAATTAATAAACTTCCAGCAAAGGATTATTATCCAAAATGACAAACTCCTGAATATAGTTGTCTGTTTAACATAAAGGTGTTGTTTGGTAATTGACGATGTTCTGTATTCAGTCTCAAGGAGATCCTGGTACAAAGATATATATCGATTCCAGGCGGCACTGGTCAGGAACAAATGGACGGTCATAAGTAATATATTACGAAGCGCTGTATTTGAAGTTTTCGATATTACATTTCCAGGTTCAAGAACCGAAGAAACAGGTAGCTGCGGCAGCTTATCGTATCCTCCACGTCTGCTTGAATTACGAGCAAGAAATTGATATAGGCCGATCAGTAACGCCACACAACCCAGAGCATCACAGACACCATCAACAATGTAGCCAGATGAACCAACATCCGAGTGTTCACCACTGATATTTGCTCTTTTTCGAGCAACGTGTCCATCTAGATCGTCTAACCATGTTCTTGCTTGAAACAGTATTACACCTAAGCGTCTATGAGACAACGAATCACTGGAAACACATTTGCCGGCTACCATCGCTACGAACACATGAAAAACACTGATTGCATTTGGTGTGACCCATGTCCAAGAATTGCTTATCTGTAGCAGTTTGTCCATAATTGCTGCAAGTGGGCTCAGAAGAAAATAATTTGGATGATCTAGCATTAATCCTTTTACAGTCACTGTACACAATGGATTAATATCACAAGGTATGATTGAAACGTATTGTGTACCATTCAATAATGGTCTTACGTTATAATTTTGTATTCTAGAATATAGTAAAACATCCATTCCAAGGAAGTACAATGTCAAAAATATCAAAATTACTAGGAACGACCTGCTTATTATAGTTGTTGTACCAAACATTTTGTATGATACTTTGGCACTTTGTGTTGTAAAAATTACTTTAAGTACACACTTATATCACATTTGCCATTATATGGTATCACACTGTTTGTGATAAACTGAAATGTATTACGTGTGTTACAGGTAGATAATTTGACATTGTTATTTCATGTGTATGTTTCTAAATTATATTGAAGTTTCGGGAAACTGTGAACGAATTCTCTTTATCGTTCGTCATTATATCAGAATAATGACATTTTTACATCTTCAATTTTTCGATTTAATGATCACATATCTCAGTCAAAGTAATCAAATTTCCAACATGTCACGAATTGTGTTCAATCATTACGTCAGTACGGTACTTTTGTTATTATTATTTTTTGATTATTTTATGATTGTATAGTAATTTGTTTTATGTCATACTATTTTCAGATTTTCCAGTCATTGATACGACCACAGTAGTTAGTAGTAGTACTTCACTTTACAACATAAGATGCTGCGATGTTCAGAGATACATTTACGTGACGCGGCTCCACACTCCACATGGTTACACGGGATATTGTGTACTTCGATTGCACTATGTTGATTAATTGATGTGCATCATATTGAGAAACGTATTATAAATACATATTCTCTTTAAGATACTTTCTCATTCTTTCTTTCTTATATCTCGAAATTATTTTTATTGGAATAATATCTAATTTTTTTGTATACGGTAAAATTTCCGTCGCACTATTGTCACATAATTTCTTTCAAATCGTCAATAATGAAGTGGTTGATTATAAAACCTGCTATTTCTTGTTGTTCTCTTTTACGAAACATAATTCTTTTTGAAATAATTCAGAATTAACTTTATGAAAACTACAATATAATAAGCGAACATGTATTATTCTTTAAGAATGAGATCAAGTACTGTAAAAACTCGAGCAAAGTCGACAATAGAATGGCGAGAAGTTGTAATCACAAAATTTCTAATATACGCGTGCGCATACGCGCTCTAGAAATCACAGAAATAGAAATAATTTACACACGGTTTCACCAGCGTAAGAATATTGTGCAAAAAAATAATAGGTAAAAAACGTAATGCTTGAAAGCTTTGCAAACATAGAGATATATATGTTATATTTTAGTTATTTTCACGAATTTTTTATCGTAAAAACAAAAAACTATTATAAGATCAAAAAATAATTTAATATTAAATTATCGTTCGTTAAAATACACAATTGATACAATTAAAATTTCGTCAATTTCACTGTTCATTGAATACCAAGATATACTTAAAATTACGATGCGTGATCTAATTATTTTATGTCACTAGAAGTAACCACAAAAATTCTCAAAGAGCAATCAATATCGCTTAAATCCATGCACAAATAAACCTTATTAGATTTTTACTTGAAAGATAATGTTGGTAAGCATTTGCTTGTACTATGAACAATCGTATTTACATTTAACTTTGAACTAAGCGTTCGTAAACATACTTTCGCATAGCGCAGTGATGGTGGTAGTGGTAATAACGCGCACATTTACACAACGATTATGTCTTGATCTTTATTCGTAAAAACAAATCACGCAAATTAATTCTTTTTTTCATTCTTCATCACTCTTATTTATTCAAAAAAGTAATTTTTTAACATAAAACATTCAATATAATTATAAATTTTCGAATTCAAGTTTTGTCCAACAAAAATAGTCGTGGATTAAATTTATAAAAGTTTGAAATACTCTTTATCTTTATTTTTCATAATATTGAAGAGCATTTAGTAATCTTTCTTAAAAAGGAAAAAAAAACGAAAACTCAAAAATGTATCACAGTGTAACGAATAAAAAAAGATACACTGTTCCATTTAGATGAACTAATTTGACCTTGAAATCTCTCCCCCTATTAAGTCAACCATAAGACATATTTATATCACATTATATCCTCCTTCAGGCCAAATAAGTTTTGCAAAAACATTTTTTAAATAGTTTCAGTCCTTTCTGAGGTATTTTAAACAATCCTATACACCTATGTTTCTATTTATGAACACTAAATTTTCATCAGATAAAATTGATAAGTATTTAGACCATATAGAAATTGTTTCTTTAAATATCTTCAACTTTTATCCTTATATATAATAATGTGGCTAATTAAAGGTATATTATTATATTTATCTCAAGTTCAAATAAAAAGTAAATATTACAATGTACAATTTTCAGTTACTAAAACTATATCGATTCTGTTGAATCTTATAATCTATGATCATTTAATAAAACAAATTTTATATTTACCTGAGGCAGTTGTGTACTCTTCCCGCATCCAGTTTCTCCAATTAGGACTAGAGTTTGATATTTTTCTAACAGATAAATAATATGACTTCGATACTTGAATGTAGGTAATCGTTGTCGTTGCATATGAATTGCAAGCGAATGATGGGCATTATATACAAATTGTGTGGATGAATGAGCATCTATATCAGGTTTATCCTCCTGCCACGAGCTGTCTCCTGTAACAATTACAAAAAAAATGTGATGTTTTCTTATGCGTATGTTTCATATAGAAAGCACAAGTCATTTTGTAAAACAATATTAGTATTTGAACAGGTTATATTATACGGTATTTTGTACAATAATATTTCTAATAAGAATATATGTTGTAACGTGTAACAAACATAATTACCAAGATCATACGATTATTTAAAATTATAAGATAACATACTATTATAACAATAAATACTTGTAAAAGTTTGTGTAAGTAATAAAACTTACCGGGTTTTAAGAAAATTGGTTTCGTACTCATTTTGTATAACTCTATTGATAACACAATGAGAAGAAATTATTTTCAAGATGTGTCATTTGTTTATAAACATTTTCAAATAATTATTAAATCATACACTGTAAATGTATACAACAAACATAGCGGTTAGCAGCACAAACTATACACAAATAGCGCTATGAATTTACTAATTGTAAGTTCTTATTTCTCCTGGAGATGACGCTGAACATTATTTCAAATGTTACACCATATCTTTGAAAATTATCGAATCTTAGTGTTAATAATATTGCTTAAAAATTGTAGTAATAGAAAAGTATAACGTAATTTCGTCACAACTCATTTCTACGAAATATTTCAGAATAAAGGTACATATTTGAAATCACTGAATCGATAGCTTTACACTACACTACATCAGCAAATTC